TAATTTCTCCACCCAACATAGTGTTGATCTTTGTTAGAAAATGTAAATTTTAGTTAAGCATCATTACTTATCTGAAAAATTTGTGTGTGTGTATATATATATTTATATATACATAGAGAGAGAATGTGAGATATATATATAATCATAGATGCCTAGGAAATACTTTGTCTTGGGTCAAATATTGAACAAAACTCAATTATGGTAAGTAACTGATTCATTCTTTGTAAAGTCTAGGCAGGTTTATATAAATTTGCTCATAGAGAGGGTTAAAAAATTAAGCAATACAAATCATTTGCTGTTGACCTAGCTTTAGTTGAAAGCTTGTCAGATAAAGCTAGGTCAACAACAAATGATTTAATGATCATAAAATCATTGTGGTAGTAATAAATTAGAAATACTCAGCAGAGCAAAAGGAAAACAGGAAAAGACTATTTTCTTCAGGCCACATCTGGCAGTGGTCAGGGCTTACTCCTGTGTCTGTGCTCAGGGATCACATCTTGTGGGTCTCTGGTCATATGTGGTGCTGAAGATTGAGCCCTGGTTGGCTGCATGCAAGGCAAGAGCCCTACCTGCTGTACTATCTCTCCAGTCCCAGGAAAAATCATTTTTTAATGTTACCAAGGATAAATAGTCATCATATTAAATTTCTCCATGGCTTTTTGTTTTTGTAGTTGTTGCTTTTGGTTTAGGGGCCACACCTGGTGTTGCTCAGGACTTACTCAGATTCTATGCTCAGGGATCATAAGTGAGTAGAGTTGACCGAATGCAAGGCAAATGCCTTTCTCTGGTCTATCCCTGGGGTATTTCTAAGTTCATATTCTCCTAAGGTTGTCCCCAGTGATTCCTGTTACCTCATAGTCCTGCTCTACTATTATGATCTGCTTGCCCTGTCTGATGACAAAAGTGATGGCAAGTCTCCTTAAATATTAAGCTACAAAACACTCTTACTTTATTCTTGCTCACCCTCATGGAAGCTGGAGGCCATTTTGCAAGCTCCCACATAGAAAGGTCCACGTGAGACATTGAAATAAGAGATGCCTTAGTCAACACATAGGAAATTAGAGCTGCAGTCTCATATTTTATGAGGAATGGAACCCTGACTCACTAGAAATAAACTCAGAATTGGATCCACCCCAAGACTTCTGAGGATACCCATCCCCTGCTGACAGCAGAACTAGTCTCCAAGAGACACCTAGGCAGCACTACCTAGATAAACTATGTCCACATTTCAGACCCACAAAAACTCCAAGATGTTTGTTGTTGTAAGCTGCCATGAGTTGTTAGTGTGTTATGCAGCAATAGATAACTAAGATGTACATGTTTACTAAAATTACACTGTCTTCTCATTTGTCATAATTATGGAGCATATAGAGGACATGCAAGTGATTTGGAAAAGAACTGTGATCAATGTTTAGAAAATCAATAAAGCAAAAAGGGGCATCCAGGACTTAAAATGGTGGTAGGAGGGGTGGAAGGTGCGTTACCAAAGGTCCGGATGAGGGAAGAGAGGCAGAGGACAGGCTCTTCTACAGAAATGGGTTGAGTCAGGAAGGGAACAAAGAAGAAATACTCCTGGGGCCGAGAGAGACATTAGAGGGGTTAAGGTGCTTGCCTTGCATGCAGCAATATCTGATTCAGTCCTTTGCACTACATAAGGCCCACTGAGCCACTTTCAGAAGTGAATCCTGAGCACCATTGGATTTGTCCCACCATACTCTGAGTGCTTGTTTATTTTCTTCTTCTTTCACATCCTTCCACTCACAACAAAGATGCAATTAAGTTCTTAGAAGAGGCAAACACAATGTTTGATACATAATTGACAGGTTGGTTGTAGTAAATGAGGAATGTATGTTGCCTGCATGTGACCCTTCCAGGTTCTATTCCTGGTACCCCATATGGTCCCCTGAGCATGCCAGGAGTGATCCCTGAGCACAGTGCTAGGGGTAATCTCTGAGTACCACCGGTATGACCTAAAAGCAAAACAGATCTGGTTCATGTGGACAGTAGCATGGAATCATAAAGCACAGAAGTGACATTATCATCTTCAGAGTATAGTTCCTGTCACTGTCACTGTCCTCCCATTGTTCATCAATTTGCTCGAGCGGGCCCAGTAGCACCTCCATTGTGAGACTTGTTGTCACTGTGTTTGGCATATCGAATATGTCATGGGTAGCTTGCCAGGCTTTGCTGTGTGGGAGAGATACACCCAGTAGCTTGCCGGGCCCTCCAAGAGGGGCGGAGGAATTGAACCCAGGTCAGTCGCATCAGCCGCATGCAAGGCAAACACCCTACTCCTGTATAGAAATTTATTTTAATACTATTTATAAAGTACATTTATTATATCTCTATTGGCAGTGCCGAGGATGGAACCCAGGAATAAAGCATGCAAGATTCACTCTTTTTTTCTCTTTTTGGGTCACACCTAGTGATGCTCAGGGGTTACTCCTGTTTCTGCACTCAGGAATTATTCCTGGCGGTGCTGGGGGGACCATACGGAATGCCAGGGATCGCAAAATTTAGTTTTGCCATTGACTATACTCCCAATCTTTAATGGTAATTTTAATTTCAATTTTCAACTGTTCCTTGTTAGTATAGAGAAATAAAATTAGTATTTATATGTAGTGACTATGCCACAAAATAGCAACACTAATTAATTCTAATACATTTGAATTTTTTGGAGGGACTGTTGATTATGAATTTCCACATAAATGATTGTGTATTCTACAAATAGAGACAGTTTTATTTCTTCCTTTCCCACTAAGATAGTCTACATTTTCCTTTTGTGGGAATGCCTTTCTACATTTGGAATTCAGAAAATGCTGGCATTATAAGCTGACACTGAAAATTTATCATTCTTTTATATTTTCCACAAGAGTCTGCATAGAAATGGTGTTTTTTTGCAGTGAGCCTTTGACACTTTGCCAGTGAAGCAATAGGTGAGTTCAAAAACTTCAAATACAAATTCATTTCCCCTATAGAGCTATTAAGGTTAATAATTTCTTCATTAGGGAGATTTGATAGTCTGTGTGTCTTTAATAGACTTTTATCTAAACTGGCTAACCAATTAGGATAAAGTTGTTCATAGTATTTCATTTTTAATATTTTCAGAATCTACAACAGCAGCCTCATCTTCATTCCTGATATTGGCTATTTGTGATATTTCGTTATTTTTTTTTTCAGCGGGGGTGAGGGGTGGTGGTGGTGGGGAAACAACTCCCTAGCAGTGTTGGAGATTACCAGAGTCTGAACCTGGGAACCATGCATGTGAGACGCGAGCTCCAATTTTGTGATTTATCTCCTGACCCCTACACACATTCTTAAGTCTTGCTCTGTTTGTTTGCGGCAGGCAGGCGGGTGGGTGGGTGGTGGAGGCAGACTTAGGCCAAATCTGCCTGTGTTCAGAGTTTATTCCTGGTTCTTTGCCCGGGGATCAGTCCTATTGCTTGAGGGACTGTATATGGTGCCAGCATCTAAGAGGGGTGTCCTCATGCAAGACAAGCACTTTTACCCCGTCCCATGTCTCTGGCATCTATTCTTATGTCTGTTTGTTTTTTATGTTTTGGGCCATCCTTGGGGGTGCTCAGGGCTTACTCCAGGCTCTTGAGCTCAGGGACGACTCCTGGTGGTGCTCAGGGCATCAAATGGGATGATGGGGATTGAACCAGAATCAGATGATTGCAAGGCAAGTGCCCAATGCACTATACTATCACTCTGGTTCCTTCTATTAAGTCTTAACTAGACATTCATTATGCTTATGAACTTTGGAAGAGAAAGTATTTTTGTTGCTTTGATTTTTGTAGGTATCAGAACCAGTTTTGGATTGCCTCAAACCAGGTACTATTTCATATGAGAATAATATGAAAAACGCCTGCATTTATGTTTCTTACTATTTCTAATTCATATTTTTAATGCTTCATAGTAGATTATGATTATTATATGTTATTTTTTAAGCCAACTCAACTCCTGACTGAAGAAATTAGAAAAGGAGAGGAAATCTAAATCAAAGAAATCTGGAAAATAAAAGATAAAGTCAGAATATTAATGAGAGAAAAACAAAAACAGTAAACAAAAAATAGTATAGTTTCTATAAGCTAGAAACTAAGAACTTGCCACTTTCATACTTGTCTGTAGTAGTGCCAAATGAATGAGTTACTATTATTATCCTCACAAGGAAGGAAAATCAATCTCACAGTTTTGTCCAAATCTAGTAGTGATTGCTTAGCATCCGAAACCTTAAAGGTATTCTGCCATTTTTATATCACTTTATCTAGAAAAGAATAAAGATTCTAGCAGTGGTATGTAAGATAGATTGAAAAAAGCATACAGAATTTTGTATCAGGCCTGGTTCTGCTACGTTATCTGAAATTCTGAAGTTGAAATGAACATCTTGGACCGTCTGGATCCTCAGGAAGGTGGTAATTGTGCTTACTTTACAAGTTGGTTGTATTAAAGGAGGAATGTCTGTCAATCATCCGTACACACGCGCGCGTGCACACACACACACACACACACACACACTATATAAAGTTAGATGGTAGGTATTGGAACCAGTTTTGGATTGCCTCAAACCAGGTACTATTTCATATGAGAATAATACGAAAAATCGCCTGCATTTGTTTCTTATTATTTCTAATTCATATTTTTAATGCTTCATAGTAGATTATGATTATTATATGCTATTTTTTAAGCCAACTCAACTCCTGACTGAAGAAATTAGAAAAGGAGAGGAAATCTAAATCAAAGAAATCTGGAAAATATAGTCAGAATATTAATAAATGTAGTCTACTCTAAGCCTTTTATTAAGCACTTAGAGCTTCGAAGTGAGCATATTTCTAGCATAGAGAACCAGAAAGTAAACTGCAACGAAAGTTTGAGGTTCAGCAACTGTTAGAAGTGGAGAACGCTAACAAGGAAACTTTTGGGGCGTTGTTTTTTTTTTTCTACGTCCTCATTTGTACATCTACATTCTTCATCTGATAGTTCTTTGGAAAAATCACAGCATGTACAGATCAAAATCAAGAGATGAGACTAAAGCAAGATCTGAGAGGGTAAACCCCAGCGTCGCCAAGCCCGGGTTCCGGAACTGGCAGACGCCTCCAACCCGCAGTAATCTGGACCCCGGAGAGCGCCCTTTTAGGTCAACGGACGGCTCAAACACTCGCGAGATTTCTCCTTTCGCGACGTCTCAAGGTTGACTTGAGACTGGGGAAGCGTCGCGAGACTTGGCTCCCTGGCCCGGCCTTCGCTCCTCCTACTGAACCTCGGGCGGCCCCGCCGGCTCCGTCGCACGTGGAGTTGTTGTGGGTCGGAGGTCACGTGACGCGGAAGTGGCCCTGCGGGACCCGCCCCAAGATGGCGCCGCCCTGAGCCGGTGCTGTTTCCCGCTCGCCCGGCAGCCGCAGGCTGGACGGAACCCGCGCTCTGGACCGGCCCGGCCTGACAGCCTCGCTGCTGGTGATTGCGGGGCGGTGGGCCGCGGTGCCCCTTGCCGCCCTAGGTCTTGCTCTCGGTTTTGGGCGCGGAGCTGTCCTGGGGTCACTGGAGGCAGCTGTGCGAGGCAGCCGTTGCGTCTCTCCACCGGTTCCGTTCCGCAGTTTCTACCCCGAGGAGGTTGCGAGCAGTCAGGGTGCTCCAGGACCTGTTTTTTCGTTTGGTGATTCACGGAAGAAAAAAAAACCTTTAATTACGTTACCGCCCCGCACCCCCGAGATTTGGAATTAAAGAATCATGCAGTCCAACAGAAAGTGCTCACGCAAATCGCTCACACCCCCTCTTGTCCAAGACTGAAGTTGTGGTTTTGCGTTTTGCTGTATGTCCCCCCCCCACACACACACCCACAATGACATTCATTCATTGGTTCGGTCTATATGCAACTGCTTCCCAGTAGTCCAGCCTTCCTGTATAGATGTGCAGTGGAGGCAATATGACTGTAATTCCTTCGAAAGCAGCAAGAGTCAACACTTGTTAACACCAAAGCCAGAAGAAGCCCCCAGTAGAAAAAAAAAACAATCATTGAATAGACATTTTGAAGCCTTTGTTACAATCCACTAGGACTTGCCACTTGCGGTAGTGAACAGGTCAGGATTGACAGCCACTACGTGGTGCTGTTCTGGGGGTAGCTCCAGGGTGCAAAGCCCTTAAGTCATCTCCGGAGCTCCCCTGCAACCCCCAGACGAATTTAATTAAATTATCAAATGTTTGTTGTTGCAGGTGTTGGATATAATTTAATGAACAAGAGAAAAACTTGCTTCTTTAGCTCAGTTTGTCGAGAGACAATAGTGAAATATTCTATTTTATAGAAGTATGTTAGGGTAAACATTATGGGACTACTAGTTTAGAGTAGTAGTAGAGAAAACATATTGGTTCATATTAACCAGAAATATGAACTAATAGCTTTAAACTAGAATTGTTGAAACCTCTGAGCTAGGTTTTAGAGATACAAATGTTACCATGCTCATGTTTCTTCCTTTCTTTCCTTTTTTTTGGTCTAACAACATTACTGTCTCAGAAGAAAGGAGATTTCTTTTCCTCCCCTCTCTCCCTTAAATAAATTTCTCATCTAATCATTTGATTCTGACAAAGTTAAAATCTTATCTTGATTTTCAAGTTGAGGGAATTGAGGTATAAAGAGGTTAGGTAAAGTGACCAGAACCATACAGGTGAGATTTATTAAATATTTCTAAGAGTTGTAGAGTAGTGTTACAGTCCATTCAGTGTTACATGGATTTCTGTCCACTTACTATCTTCTTGCCAGTCTCTGAAATAACAGAAGCAGTTGCTAAGAACAGGTGAGTGTAAAAGTTAATAATGGAATAGTAGGATGTGTGTATGTATGCGCACACACAAGAGTTAATAAAAGAATGGTAGGGTGTCTGTGTGTGTGTGTGTGTTTATGTAACCAGAGCACATACATGCAGAAAGAATAACAGTTTAAGTTATTTTTCCCCTGTGTTTGTTTTTGGGCTACATCGAATTGTACTTGGGGCATAATACTGTTCTGCATTCTTGGATCACTCCTGGCAGAATTGGGGAACCATATTGGGGTGCTGGGGTTGGAATTTGGGTCAGCCATGTGCAAGTTAAGAAGCTTACCTGTTGTACTATCTTTCTGACTCAAGAATTTACCTGTTGTACTACATTTCTGACCTAAAAATTTAAATATTTTTTAAGGTTTGGGGTTCATGCAAGAAAATGTAATTTTTTCGATGTATTTTAGAGGAAAAAAAATCAAGATCAATGAGTAGAGTTTCAAGAAAGTTTTGCTTTTCTTAACCATTCCTCGTAGTGCTCAGGAATCATTCATGGCAGGATTTGGGGAAATCATATGGGGTACTGGGAATTAAATTCAGATCAACTGTGTCAAGGCAAATGCCCTGCCCACTGTACTGTCTTTCTGACCTGGGAAGTTGTATTTCATTGTATGCAAAGAAAACTCATTTTATTCATTTAGCATATGGTTTATCTCCATGTACTTTGCTCTTTGAAAACCTTGATAAAGCCTTGTAAACCAAACATATTATGATAAGTACTACCAAAGAAAGGAGTTAAAGAGAATAGAATACTACTACTACTAGATACCTACTTATGAGGGTTGGGGAGGATTTGGACCCAGTGTTGCTCAGGGCTTGCTTACTGCTGACTCTTTGTTGGGTGATCTTCTGGCATGCCTAACCCATTGTAGGCTAGCAGCACTTGTGGGCTGCTATGGGGTGCTGTGGGCTGCTATGGGGTCCTGACCTGCAGGACTCCACCTATGAGGGATATCCTGGGCGAGGGGGCTCCGGAATGAGAAGGAATGGATGCACGTCTTAGATGTCTGCAAGGCACTTATATACCTTAAGGTGGCACATGTGTGAAACAGAATGGGCTGATCTCTATCGTAGCTAACACTCAGTGGATGGTCAGTCAAGATAGCTGTAGAAGGAGTGGAGAGTTACAGAGGGGCTAGCCAGATTGCATCATCCAAGGGCCACCTGGTGGGATGCCATGTGCTTGTGAGGAATGTACAGGCCCACACATCCAAGATGGAGACCTCTGGCTCCCCACAAGCACTGCTGGAGTGGACTTGTGCATGAGAGTGAGAGAGGGAGAGAGGCCTGATTGCTGAGACATGGAGAATTGAATAAGATGTTGGCTGTGGAGTGCAGTGCCTGGCATGTAGTATACATGTCAGTGTTTCCTTCCAACAGTCGCATGAGGAGTGGAGGCCTGTCAAGCTGATCAAGGGGAGAGTCTCCAGGATGTTTTTGTTTTGGGGTCACACCTAGTGGTCTTCAGGGCTTAAACTCCAGGCTCTGTGCACAGGGGTCACTCCTGGCCGTGTGTTGGGCACCCGATGTGGTGTCCGGGATTGAACTCTGATCAGCTGCACGCAAGACAAGGGCCTTATGTGCTGTACTCTTGCTTTAGCCCCTCTCTTGACATTGCTGCTCCTGCTGTTGTTTTGCCACACCTTGTGGTGCTCAGGAATTACTCCTGGTTCTGCACTCAGGAAGCCCTCCTGGCGAGCTCTGGGGACCATATGGGTTGCTGGGGATTGAACTCGGGTCAGCCACGTGCAAAACAAGTGTCCTACCCACTGTACTATCACTGTGGCTCCCTCTCTTTAAGGTTCTGAACTTGATGCTGGATTGTTTTTGCCAACTATTACTGTATGATGAGTAAGTCTAAAACACAGAATTTTGTGAAACTTCTAAGTTGTGACTACAAGTGAAGGACTTTACAGATTTCATGTACGAATTAATTGTTAGGTTTTATTTTATTTATTCTTGTTTTATTTTGGGCCACACCTGGCAGTGCTCAGCGCTCACTCCAGACTCTATTCAGGGATCACTCTTGGTGGTACTTGAAGGACTGACCATATGCAGTGCTGGGGATCAAACTGAGGTCAGCCTCGTGTCTGACCTAATTTACTATCTCTCTGGACTCTAGTTATTAAGTTTTTTTTTTATGAATTTAGTAGATGTATGTACTCTTCAATCTTTTAGAAGGTCTTAAAATATTGGCGTGTCAGATTATAACATAGCAAAATTGGAATAATATATGTGGTAATCATAGCCAAAGTAATAGAGCTTTGGGATAGTTCCTAATGGGGATCAATAGACCATATGGGATGTGAGGTTGGCCGTATGCAAGGCAAGATCCCTACCCTCTGTACTTTTGTGGGCCCCTAATTCATGCATTTTTAAGATAAAAGAATCCCTACATGATTAAGTGCCTGCTGTGTACTGGTGCAGGAGACATAGGTGAACACACAGATGTTAAACAAATAGCCATGTATCAGTATCACTGTATCACTGTCATCCTGTTATTCATCAATTTGCTCAAGCAAGCACCAGTAACATCTGCATTCGTCCTAGCCCTGAGATTTTAGCAGCCTCTCCTTACTTGTCTTTCCCAATGGTGCCACATTGGAGGCTCTTTCAGGGTCAGGGGAACGAGACTCATCATTGTTACTGTTTTTGGCATATCGAATATGCCACAGAAGCTTGCCAGGCTCTACCGTGCAGGCAGGATACTCTCGGTAACTTGCCAGTTTCTCCGAGGAGGAGAACTAGACTATAAGAGGTCACACTGGCGTATGCCACTACGCACTTCTGGGAACTTTGTTTTATAGTCTCTGGATCATGGCCGTTGATGGGGTTTCATGGCTCCAGGGGCAGTTTGTGGGTGTAACTACCTAAATACTAGAAAATGTACTCGGTTACAGAATTAAAATTAAGATTAGTGTGTAAGTAATAGAAAAATCTAAATCTAGGCTCCTGCGTAAGGAGCCTGTGTATAAAGTCCTAGAAATGAGGAAAATTAGGTGAGTTGGAGAAAAGGAGAGATTACGATGCTAATAAGGAAAGTGCAATTGGTGGGTGTGGCGGTTGGAGGGATAGGTGGATCTAGAAGTTCCACTCCCCTCCCCCCCCCGCATAATCTTTTGAGCTGTGGACATATTTGAAAGGTGTCTAGGCTGAAAAATGGTAAGATAAAAATTCTGTTGGAGGAAGTTTTTATGGTTAGTACAGTGGGACAAGGATCACTGCAGGGGGGATGAATAAGCAGGGAAGAAGACAGACACTGCAGAAAGCAGAAACAGCAGTTTTCTGAGGAGGTGATTACTCACTGAGGGCTCCTTCTTAGCGAACCTGGGAATGTCAAGGAGGAATGTTCCCCCAGAGAAGCCATATTAATGTTTTGGATGGTCGTTAGCTGCTGCTTGAGTGTGTTGATTTTCTTCAGGTAAATTAGGCAAATAGTTTGGTTTTATTCTCTAGTTGAGCATCAGTAATTTTTTCCCCTATTGTTGAGTGAGCCACTTTTTGAAAAACATTTTATTACATGTAATCTTGCCTTTGTTTGTTTGTTTTAGGCCACACCCAGCAGTGCTCAGGGGTTATTCCTGGCTCTTCCAGGAGGAATTACTTCTGGCAGTATATGAGGGACCATATGGGATGCCGGGAATTAAACCCAGGTTGCCTGTATGCAAAGCAGGCACCCTACCTGCTGTACTATTGCTCTGCCATGTATTCTTTTTTTATTTTTTTAATTTTTATTAGTGAAACACCATGAGGTACAGTTGTAGACTTACAAATTTTTGTGCTTGGGTTTCAGTTATAGAGATGATAAGGCGATGTTGAAGTCTCCAGCTACTATTGTGTTGCTAGCAATGTCCTCCTTAAAATCTGTTAGCAGTTGTTTTAAATATTTAGCTGTTCCCTCTTTAGGTGCATATGCATTTAAGAGTGATTTCTTCCTGTTGTATGTATCCCTTGATGAGAAAATAGCCTTCATTATCCCTTCTATTCTTCTTCAACATGAAATTAATGTTGTTGGATACTAGTATGGCCACCCCAGCTTTTTTCTGGGTTTCAGTTATACAATGATTGAATACCCATCCCTCCACCAGTGCCCATTCTCCACCACCACTGATCCCAGTATCCCTCCCACCTCCATCCCTCCATCCTACCTTGCCTCTGTTGCAGGGCATTCCCTTTTGTTCTCTCATTTTGGGTGCTGTGGTTTGCAAAAGAGGCACTGAGTGTCTGCCATGTATTCTTGCTTTTTAAAATATACATCGTAATTTCAGAGCATTGGTGAGATTCTTCTTCATATCGGCTACTAGCATTTTTAGCATGGGTTAAATTATGATAGAGAGGTGTATTTCATTCATATAATATCAAGGTGTTAGCCTCTTGTTACACTATAGTAAGGCTTACTGTTTCATCTGGGTTAAGTTCTATTCATTTGGGTTTCACATAGTTTTTGCAGTTTTCTTTCTTCCTTTTTTGGGGGGATAGGGGAGAGGTACACCTGAGACTCAAGGCTTACTCCTGGCTTTGTAATCAGGGATCAATACAGGCAGGCCTGGGGGTTCTGAGGATCAAACCTGTCAGCCACATGAAAGGCAAGTGCCCTACCCGCTATAGTATACTTTGGCCCCACGTTCTTACAATTTTCAGTGCAAACTACCATCATCTAGAATTTAGTCATTTGCTTGATAAACTTTTTGATAGATGACCATATGTAAAACAGATTTCTCAGACCAAATAAAAAGAATTTGGTAGGATCTATAAGGATATAATTGACTTAGCTCATTTGAATATTAGTTATGTTTGAATAATACTGTCGATCTTTTTTCTATGTAGTACTGAAGCAAAAATTACATATCTGCTTCACATTTTTGTTTAACTCTTAAATGTGTAACTGCCATGTGACTCTGTTCTTCCACTTTTTTTAGTTTCCCAAAAGCCTCATGATTTTTAATGACACATGAGTTAGAGAAGTTTGAGCTCCACAGAAGCAATTAGTAACTTTTGATTCATGTTTTACTGTGCAAGTATGTTGAATTTGATCATTTCATTCTCACAAGGTAAGAATTGTCAAAAAAATCAATGCATGCAAAGTAGCCACATAAATTAAAACAGTAATTACTTTATTGATTAAAATTTAACAGTCTTGGCAAGCATCTCTCTGAACCCTCTCCTAAGATTAAAGAGAAAATAAGAATGAAGTGCTGCATGTTTGATAAGAATTGAGGTATAGCAAGACATTCTCACAATGGGTTTACTTTTTTGTGCTTTGAGAAATGAAAACAGGTAAAATATTTTATTTTCATCCTGGATTTTTTTAATAAGATCTTTTCACAAAAGTGAAAAAAGTGTTGAACATGGTTGGCTTAAAAAAAGGTCTGCATTACTTCTGAATCTTTTCTGTGACTTAGGAAAGGCCACTAAACTCTTCAGAAAGAAATCCTGGGTGGGCATTCTCTCCTGACCATGTGGGGTTCTTGCTGGCTTAGCTTGGTGCGCTGGTTGTGATACCACTAGAATTATGATGGAGGAGATCTTTGTGACCTTTTGAGTGACTCTTGTCGAAGACCAGCCATTTAGTTGCGTGCAAGGTTTATAGGGATATTTCTAATGCAAATCGGGTTTTAATAATTGACCTTATTAACCAAAAAGTAGGCACATTTGAATTGCTCTCAGTAATTTCATTTTGGCAGTGAACTCCTGTAATGGGCTTGTAGGGGCCTCGGTAGAGCAGAGAGTTAGTAGGAAATCTGCTGTGTCCCTCCTGAGCCTATTGAAAATCCACAGAATAAAAAATTAAAAGCTCTGTAATTTTTAATTTTTGTCTTTTTGGGTCCCACCTGGCAATACTCAGGGGTTACTCCTGGCTCCGCACTCAGGAATCATCCTGGTGGTGTTTGGGGGACCATATGGGATGCTGAGAATCGAACCCGAGCCATTCTCATGCAAGGAGAATGCCCTACCCTAACAACACTGTGCTATTGCTCCAGCGCACAGTGGAGCTTTTAACTGTTTCCCCCTTTTTGTTTCTGTGGTGACTGGGGTGCCATGCACTGTCACAGTGCAGCAGTGATGGCACACTGGGGACCACACTGCAGCCAGTGGGGCAGTGCTGGGTGGGAAGATGTGCTCTGCCTCTCAGCCGCCCCTTGGGCCCCAACTCATTGCTTTGAACTTTGAATGAACGATACTGGGTGTTTTTTTGGTTTTGTTTAATTTTGGGGGGTTGGAGGCCACCACCCAACGATGCTCAGGGATTAATCCTGGTTCTTCACGCAGGGATCATTCCTGGCAGAGGACCATGTGGGATGTTGGGGATCGAACTTGATTTGGCTGTATGGAAGGCAAGCACCACCTCTGTGGCCCTGATACTGGGTATTTTTTTAACATCTTACATAAATCATGTATTTTTTATTTCTATTTTTCATTTTTCAGACTTTGATCCATACCCTGTGGTGCTCCCGGCCTTGGTGCTCAAGTATCACTCCTGGCAGACTCAGGGGACCATATATGATCGCGGTGATTGAATCTTCAGTAGCCACGTGCTAGGTAAATGCCCTATCTGCTCTGCAATCACTCTAGCCCCTGCTCTCCAATTTTAAAATGTTCTACAGATTTCGCTGTGATCTTGAGGTGCAAACAGAAACTGTAACTTCTGTGAAGCAATCAGGTATTTCTTAGATGATAAGCTGGGGCCATATTTTAATGTCCTTTAGGAAAATGTAACTCCTTCCCACTCCGTTTATTCACTCAATATAAAAAATATAATCAAAAATTATAATTTATTAATTAGAAACAAATTAATGTATAAGTAATAAATACTGTCACCGTCACTGTCACTGTCCTCCTGTTGTTCATCAATTTGCTCGAGCGGGCCCAGTAACGTCTCCATCGTGAGACTTTATTGTTACTGTGTCTGGTATATCGAATACATCACGGGTGGCTTGCCAGGCTCTGCTGTGCGGGCGAGATACTCTTGGTAGCTTGCCGGGCTCTCAGAGAGGGCCGGAGGAATCGAACTTGGGTCGGCCATGTTGGCCGCGTGCAAGGCAAATGAAATACATCAATATTAATATATTTAGAGGATGGACTTTACATATATCCTTCAAATAGGAATTCTTAGATGTGAATTTATTAAAATACGGATCTAAGTTCATCAGGATTATTAACTTGTACAAATGCAGGTCTTAAAAAGGAGATTCATTAGTTAAAATAAATGACCTAAAAGACAAATATATAAGATTTGGTCTGACATGATAGGACAACTAAGATAGCCAAGCGAGGAAAAGCAATTAGGTGCAAGGCAGCACATATTTGCCTTTTATTTTAAAGAAAAGAAAAGATATCCAGATTTGCTTGTGTCTTAAGTGACTGTGAAAAGATAAACAAACAAGCAAAACAACCAGCCCCTTTGAAAGGATACTACTGAATAAATTTGGTCACTTGACTTACTAGGAGCAGGGAAGGAGACTGGACTCTTTTCCTTCCTGAATTCTGTCTGCTTGTTTACTTTTTAAACCACCTGAAAGTATTAAAAATCCACCACAAAGGTGGGGCTGGGGATGGCTGTGCAGCAGAGCATTTGCTTTGCAGTGTGGGAGGCCCTGGGTGTGATCCCAAGCACACACCAATAAATGCATTCAAAATAAAATCATTAAAATCTACAGCTGGAAATATGCGGCAATAATGATTATTTCCCCCAAAATATCTCAGTGAAAGCTTCTTTGATTATGCCTGTGTGATGATATGAGAAATATGCTTTAAAGACTGCTTTTTTCGAAAGACACACAGTGTTTGAAAATAATATTTTATCAACTTATCACCGATTTACAATTTTGTGGAATTTCCGGAGTTTAGTGTTACTCATCTGTGTATGTGTAGGTGTCACCACCTCCACAATAGGACAAAAAATCTCATATGTGGGATATAAAGAGACTCAGTGAGGAAACAACAAATGGCCAAAGGCGTTGGAGCTAGAGATTTTCTCTACAGAACTGAGCTTACTTAGGGGAGGGGTCTTGGGGGGACGCTGGGGGAAGGCAGGAGGCTCTCTTGGGGTGGGCGAGCTGGTACAATAATGTATGCATAGAAAGTGTGATTAACAATGTTGTAAACCATGGTCCCTCAATCAAAATGAGACGAGGAAAAAAAGTCTTTAAAAAGGTTTTTAAAAATCTCTACTTTTGAAATCTCTACTTAAAAAAAAATCTTTACCCCCAATGGCAGAAGGCTTATTTTATTGTAATGTGTGTGTGTGTGTGTGTGTGTGTGTGTGTGTGTGTGTGTGTGTGTCAGGGATTGGCTGTTTCTTGTAACCTTTTGCTCCTTTTCTCTATTCCCACCTTTTCCCTTTCTTGAAGGCTGGTGGGATAGCAGGTGTTTTTGTGGACTTGATATTATTTCCACTGGATACCATTAAAACCAGGCTGCAGAGTCCCCAGGGATTTAAGAAGGATGGTGGCTTTCGTGGAATATATGCTGGTGTTCCTTTTAATGCTATTGGATCCTTCCCTAATGGTAAAAATTGTATTGATTTTTTCTCACTGATATGAAGCCAAGATAATGGCTTATGAGTTGTAACTTATTTTCTGAACTTGTTAAACTTTTGAATCAGCTAGTGCTATAGATTTCCAGCTGATTGCAATAGAAAAAATGGAAAAAACGAGCCCTCTTCTAAAACTGGATTTTGGTGTTAAAATTCCAATTAGATTCCTTAACGTATTGTTCCAGTTTTATGATGCCTTAAAAGCAGTGGTTCTCAGCCTTGCCCCACACATTGGCATCTTTGGAAAGTGCTGATGCTAGGGTAGAGAAACTGTACAGTGGGTAGGACACTTAACTGGTTGGCCTGGATTGGATCCCAGCACAGCATATGGTCCCCTGAAGCAATGGCAGCAGTGATCTTTGGGTGCGGGACCAGGAGGAAGTCCAGAGTACTGTGGGAGTGGCCCAGCCGTGCCTCCACCCCACAACACCCCAAAGAAGTCCTGGTGCTGGGGCTGAAAAATAGTACGGGCTGGAATTCACTTGCTTTGCATGTGGCAGTGACCGAATCCTGATTTGGATCCCCAGCTTCATGTCTGGCCCCCTGAGCGTTGCTGGATGTGGCCCAGTCCTCCATCCCCACAAATACATTAAAAACAACTATAACAAATTTAAAACACAGATGCTGTTGTTACCTCCAGAGGTTTAACTGCTCTGTAGATTGATTGGATACCTGGAGTTTGGGTAGTATCCCAGGTAACCTGTGTGGAAATTACTGCTATCTTTGAGATTCTGTGGAGCAGATGGATTTAAGGCATTAAACCTGTCTGACTAACTTGCTCTTGGATGATGCAATTGATTACCATGACTTTCTCTCAGATAATCTCCTTCCAGGGCTGGAGTGGTAGCACAGCAGGTAAGGTGTTTGCCTTGCACACAGCTGACATGGCCGACCCGAGTTTGATCCCTTCACCCCTCTCTGAGAGCCTGCAAGCTACTGAGAGGATCTCGCCCGCATGCCAAAGCCTGGCAAGCTACCCATGACATATTTAATATGCCAATAACAGTAACAACAAGTCTCACAATTTGTTGTGAGATGTTACTGGTGCCTGCTCGAGCAAATAGATGAACTACGGGAGGACAGTGCAGTGCAGTGCTATGTCCTTCCAGTGACTTAAAGGTAAAGGTAAAGGCCCTCCCGTTGATCGTCGATTTGCTCGAGCGGGCCCAGTAACGTCTCCATTGGAGACTTTGTTGTTACTGTGTCTGGCATATCAAATACTCTCGGTAGCTTGCCGGGCTCTCCGAGAGGGGCGGAGGAATCGAACTCCGGTCGGCCATGTTGGCCGCTTGTAAGGCGAACGCCCTACCACTGTGCTATGGCTCCAGCCAGTCTTGATGGTTTTATTTTGTGTGCCATAAAAGTTGAAAGTTATGGTGGTAATTGTATAGAACTGTCTGGAATTTAGGCAATGCTTTCCACCGCTCACTAGTGGATGGCAAAGTTTCTAGTGAATCTGCAGGCAGGTCAAGCTCGAGAAAGTGTACCTTGCAATCACCTGTAATTGCTAACCCATGAGTCTATAGAAATGAAAAAGGTCTTATCAGCTCATTTTATGTAAGAAACTTAATATATGTAGCACCCAAGACTAAGGAATCCCTAGTTCAATATTAACAATGTATGAGACTTGAACAGGACATTACAAATCACTGACAAAGAATGAAACACACATGTCACAGGAGATTGGGACTGTGCTTCTATTGTTAAATAGGTGTTTCTGTTCCACTGTTTCCATTTCCACGTGACAATTAAAACAAACATCTGTTTAAGCCTCTTTTTAAGAATAAGGGAAACATAGACTTCATGCCCTAAAACTATTTTAAAATTCACACTTAAGTATTAAAAGAAATTCTCTTCAACCAACCAGCCATTTTGCTACTTTTTGGTGAGTAGATAGTCTGTGCCAGTCATTGTGAAAAAGTCTTTATTTTAAGAACAAAATTTAGTTAACAAAAATTTTTAACAAGTTTCACTTAGCAAAATACACCCAAAAGGAAATCACAGTACAAAGGAAGTTTTAAGTGAAGGCCTCATCAATTTCTATAGTATTAGTATTGTGTCTCAATTTTCAAAACTAACTTTTTAAAAAGCTTAAACTTAACCTAAAAGATTTTAAATGAAAATAAACTAGAATGAACAAACATGAGAAACGTTCCTCTTTGAATTAGGGATCTAGCACCTTGAGTTTTCCAGAAATAAACAGAACAGTACAAAACAAAACAAAACAAAAAAGCATGTCTCCCCAATGTGTTCTTGGTGAAGTGGTGTAAAAGATCCACACTGGACGTACTCAAAACTACTTTAACTCAGATAACATCACTTTGAAGTACACTACCAAAACATTAATTGAGAAAAACTGAAAATAGTTTTAGTTTACTCAATATCACATGCTAGAAGAAAGTTTGCATGAGAAAACACTGAAGAGGTAATTTTTTAATCCAGATTTCACAAACTCATGGTGCGAATGGGTCCCACAGCTTCCTCTAGAGAAATAATTGCTTTTCACTGCTTGTTGGCTGCATGTGAAAATTTGATTGAAATAACTCAAATGCTCCTACAAAACTAATATATCCACCCATGCTATTCTGGCCACTGTAGCCAGCCCCATAACAGCCACTCACGGACTGGCTCTCAAGGCCACTGTATGTGGACTGGGCAGACACCCCCATGCCTTACATCATCTGGCCACTATATGCCCCATTGCTGGCCCCTGTTGTGGAATTCAAGAAGAGTTCTATGTATCTGTGCTGCATGTTGGCCCTGTCTTTGGACATAGCTGCTACGGCTTCTTCATGAGTGGCAAATTCAACATCTGCTTCACCGGTTACTCTTCCATCAGGGCCAATCTCAATATGAACTCTCACTGGGTTGAGTGGAGAGAAGAAGTTGTAAATTTCGTTCTCAGTGGCTTTGTATGGCATCCCCCTCATGTGGACACAATGCCCAGTGGTGCTCTGGACAGTGAACTCGCCATCTCCATATCTGTGATCATACATCCCCGAGAGACAGTAACTGAGGTCTCTCCCAAAGAGGTTGGTGGTGAAGCCATAATCATCACTGAGGCCGCTGTACTCCTCTAAGCCCACGTAGCTTGCACTGTAGGCACCAGATCTCATTCTATCCAGCTCTGCTTGCTTAACAATGCCAATGTATCTCCTGGCTGTGCCAGGCCGATCATAAGGCCCAGGCCGCTGCACAGACATAAACCAGAGAGGGCTCTGAGTATGACCTAACTTCTTCCTGGCTTCTCTTAAAGGTAAAGGCCTTCCCGTTGTTCATCGATTTGCTCGAGCGGGCCCAGTAACGTCTCCATTGGAGACTTTGTTGTTACTGTGTCTGGCATATCGAATACGTCACGGGTAGCTTGCCAGGCTCTGCAGTGCGGGCGAGATACTCTTGGTAGCTTGCCGGGCTCTCCGAGAGGGGTGGAGGAATCGAACTCGGGTCGGCCATGCTGGCTCCGTGCAAGGCAAACACCCTACCACTGTGCTATCGCTCCAGCCCCGGCTTCTCTTAAACACTTCAATATACCTGTGCCCTATTCTCTCCTTGTGCTTCCCTAGCACCTTCTCTGCTAACTCCTGTGAAGCAAACTGCCCGAAGGCTTCCCCTGTAATCTTGCCCTCAGGGTCCACAGGCATTGTGATCCCCTTTGGCACGATTTCCAACCCTGAGAAGAACTGAACAATTTCTTCCTTGGTGCATCCAAATGGTAGTCCTCGAAGCCGCATGAAGCCGTCACTGGCGGTGTCAGCGCTGTTTGGACCACTGTGCTTCAACACCCAATCTGTCTTGGTTCTGTGTGACTTGAACACCTCAAAGTACTGGTGTCCCATGATTTCCCTGTCTTTTTTCAGGACCAATTTGACATCATTTTCTGATGCAAGTTCAATAAAAGCCTCACTACTCTGCCTGCCTTCTCTAGTGTAGATAAAATGAACACCTGCGGCCCCATCATGAATCGTGCAGCCGGAGAGGAAATTCTGCACATCCTCAATAGAACAGGACCATGGCAGGCCACGGAGCTTGACCACAAAGCCTTCACCTCCCTCAGGGCTCAACATCATGGACACTTTATAGGGCAGATGTCAAACGAGCTTGGGTGCAGATTTTTGTGGCACAAGAGGGTATGTATGCCCACAACTGGGATAGAATCCTAGTAGGCAACGAAGAGTCCTCAGCATACGCAGCCAGGCGCTCGGGGCACACACGCCACCATAGAGAGGAAGGCTCCAGTGACTTACTTTTGCTTTTTTTTTTTTTTTAAGCCACGAATACATACCGAATACACAACGGATAGCTTGCCAGGCTCTTCCGTGCGGGCGGAATACTCTCGGTAGCTTGCCAGTCTTTCCGAGAGGGATAGAGGCTTTTGGGGCGACCTCTAATCACCCTTGTAGGTGTTACCATATTTGAACCCTATCAATTATGGTACGACAATTCCTGAAGATGGGTATTTAGTGTCTTATGATGTGTCGCGCGGCTGCAAAGCGGCTGCACAGGTCCAGAAAGTATCCTGGAGTGTGGCGACGGCTGGGTAGTGGAAGTAGTGATTGCAGAGATGCGATCAAGGAAGACCTCAAAGAGAGAAGAGCAGAAGTACTGGTAGATGCAGCAGAAGCCGGGAAAAGTATTCATAACGCCCGCCTGTCCTTCACCAACTACAAGACCAAGATGACTGCCCTCCGACGTCCTGATGGATCCATCACATCCTCCAGAATGGCAATGGAGAAGATTATCCATGACTTCTACTCAAATCTCTTCAATAGCCATGTCCACTTGCCGACATAACAAATTCCACAGGATGGATATGTCGTTCCCAACGTTCTCCCTTCCAAAATCCGACACGCCATTTCGTTGGTAAAGAAACAAACAGCACCCAGCCCAGAAAAGGTCAGACCTGAACACCTGAAGAACCTGCCGTCAGTACTCATCAACACACTGGCTCGGCTCTTCACTCACTACCTGTCTGAATGCAAGGTTCCGTCCCAATGGAAAACCAGCAGGATCGTACTACTGTTCAAGAAGGGAGACATCCATGACATTGGCAACTATCGCCCGATCTGCCTATTGTCTGTCATCTACAAGTTGTTCACTCGAGTCATCCTAAATAGGATTGGCAGAACACTAGATGAAGGACAACCATGCGAGCAAGCCGGGTTCCGCAAAGGATTCAGCACCATCGACCATATCCACATGATAACCAAGCTCATTGAGGTTTCTCGGGAGTTCAAGATGCTGCTCTGTTTAACGTTCATTGATTTAAAGAAGGCCTTTGATTCTGTTGAGACGGAGGCGGTCATTGAAGCCCTAGCCAATCAGGGCATTCAAGCCCAATACATCAGGATCCTCCGTGAGCTGTATTGCGGATTCACTACCAGGATCTCACCATTCTACAAAGAAGTGATCATTGACGTCAAGAGAGGGGTGCAGCAGGGTGATACCATTTCACCGAAACTCTTCAGTGCCACCCTCGAGAACATCATGTGACGACTGGAATGGGAAGGAATGGGAGTGAAGATAGATGGTCGGCAACTACACCACCTCCGCTTTGCTGATGACATTGTTTTAATAACACCAAACATCAGCCAAGTGGCACAAATGCTGGCCGACTTTGACCGTGAGTGTGGAAAGGTAGGACTACAGCTGAATCTTATGAAGACAATGTTTATGAGAAACAGCCTCATTCCTGATGCCCCATTCGCTCTCAACAGAACGACCATCTCCGAATGCAACAGCTATGTGTACCTAGGTCGAGAGGTCAACATGACAAATGACCTGGCACCCGAGCTGTGCAGGAGGAAGATAGCGGCTTGGAACGCCTTCAAGAACATCGAAGAAATAGCTAAGAGGACGAAGAACCTCCGGCTCCGGGCACATCTCTTTGATTCCACTGTTCTTCCTGCATTAACATATGCCTCAGAGACCTGGGCCCTACGCAAACAAGATGAGAACGCTATTCAGGTCTCCCAAAGAAGAATAGAAAGAGCTATGCTTGGAATATCACATTTCACTCAAATGAGAGAAAGAATCTGGAGTTCTGACATCCGTCGACGATCAAGAATCAGGGACGCTGTCTCATTTGCCAAGGTGTCGAAAATCAGATGGGCTGGTCACGTAATGAGATTTAAAGACGACCGCTGGACTAGAGCTGTTACCGACTGGATTCCATGGGATGTCAAAAGACCGCGTGGCCGCCCACCTACCAGATGGTCAGACTTCTTCGTGAAGATCATGAACGATCGGTTTGAGGCTCTTCATGTTCCCAGAGTGAACAGATGCCACTGGGCTACACTAGCACACAACAGGGACAAATGGAGACGTTACTGGCGCCCGCTCGAGCAAATCGATGACTAACGGGAAGTTAAGTGATTAAGTGATTTTTAAGCCACATTATGTATGGCCATCTTATTCTATAATCAGTATTATTATTTTGGGGGCCACACCCAACTGTGTTCAGGGCTTCCTCCTTGCTCTAAGCTCAGGGATCACTCCTGGTGGAGCTCCAGGGACTATACTGGGTGCTGGTTGACTATATGCAAATCAAGTGCCTTACCGACTGTACTTTCCTTTGAGCTTCTGTACTATTTGTTTTAATTAATATACTTATTAGTTTTTTCAGATGCTTAGTTTTGTGTGTGTACATATGGGGGCGAGGGTGGATCCCAAGAAGTATTCATGATGACTGGTGGCCACTGCTGGTTAAATCCAACCATCTGGGTCAGATATTTGTGAGCTGGAGCCCAGGAATGCAGTGCTACTTTACCTTGTGCTGCTGGGGACCCCAGAACCTCCCTCCAGGGACCTTCTGGACTCTACCTGGTAGTGTTGGGGACCATGGTGATTAACTGGGGTCCCTAGGATGCAAAGAATGCATCTGCTTGGCCCAAATACTTCCATTGTTTACTAATAATTTGAGCAGCACTCAAAAGCAAATAAGTATACAAAAACAAAATACCACTTAAGCAGTGATCCCTCTCTCTCTCTCCCTCTCTCTCTCTTTCTCTCTTTCTCTCTCTCTCCCTCTCTCTCTCTCTCTCTCTCTCTCTCTCTCTCACACACACACACACACTCACATACACACGCACTCACTCACTCACATACTTAACATTCTTATTTAGACAACCACTGCTTCAGATTTCTTAAATTCTGGGACTGTTTCCATTGTCCTTGACTACAGTGTGACCATGTTCAAACACCTTTTCAGTGTTTGAGCCATTCACTTACCTTTAGTGAAAGTTGCATATAGTACGAGGAAGATCTTTAGACTTGTTTTGTCGTTGAGAATGCAGCTGAACACAGTTCAGTTTTATCCCTCCCTCCCCACCCATATGGTCCCCTGAGCACTGCCAGGTCAGCCCCTTGAGGCCCCTCCCAGAACTGTTGGATATCTCCCTGGAGGACTTGAACATCCCTAGGGTGATCATCCCTGGATGGTCCTCAGCACCTCCAGCCCCAATGTGCTGCTCAGAACCTCTAGCCTGGTTGGCCAAGAATTACCGTGAGTGGCCTCTAAGTTGCCTGAGCACTGCTGAGCAGCCTATTTTAAATTTCAGCTTCTGCTTTTTTTCTTTTTATCACCTATCCTCCTCCTTCCCCAAAGAGTTGATTATTGCCTTGAGGAGCTGATGTAGCAAAAAGTAGCCATGGTGATTGGGGTAGCCTGCAATGACATATTCTGGATGAGATGGTTTATTGGGTTAAAGTATATGTTTTCAGTTTCATCTTGCTTATAAATCTGTGCAGCTAATTTTTCTTGAGTATTTATTTTCTTGGTGAGAGATATTTTGGATCATAAAAACTTACATCCTTTTCCTTTTTGAGGTGTGTGTCTGTAAGGTTAGGACCATCCGACAGTGCTTGGGGGCTAGTCCTGCTTCTGTGCTCAGTAGTGACCCCTGAACGGTGCTCTGGGAACCATATATATTGCTTGGAATTCGGATTAGCTCAACATCACGTAAAAGGCCTTAACACCTAGGATGTCTCTTCAGCCACCTAAGACTTTATACCCCATATATGAAGCTCACTAAAAATGTTGTGATTTTAGGGGTTGGAGCAATAGTATAGTTGGTAGGGTGCTTACCGGGCACACTGCTGACCCTATTCAATCCCTGTTACCCATATAGTTTCCCGAATCATCCAGGAGTGACTCTGAGTGCAGAGCCAGCAGTAAGCCCTGAACAGAGCCGAGTGTGGCCCAAGAACAACAACAAAAAAATTCAAAAACATTGTGACTTTAGTACTTAAAGTGGTTAATGCCAGGTTAGTTCTTATACTTCTTTCTTTCTTTCTTTCTTTCTTTCTTTCTTTCTTTCTTTCTTTCTTTCTTTCTTGCCTCACACCTGGCAATGCTCAGGGGTTACTCCTGGCTCTGCACTCAGGAATTATTCCTGGCGGTGCTTGGGAGACCATATGGGATGCTGGGAATCGAACCCGGGTGACCGCGTACAGGGCAAATGCCCTACCTGCTGTGCTATCACTCTAGCCCCCATCTTAGACTTCTTCAGGGCATGAATTTTTTCTTTTATAAATTTAGGGCATATAATAGTAAGTTTTGTAAGTGGGTGGGGAAAATATATGTTAACTGTTACCTTTATTAGATATAATTAAATAGTTTAGATTTTTTAAATATTAAGTTTGAATATGTGTTTAGCTTTGGAAAGACTGGCTTATTTTAAATTTCAGCTTTTGCTTTTTTATCACCTATGAATATGTGAAAAGTTTTTTGCACACTGATTCATCTTTATATTTGGTGCCTGTGAAGCATATGTTGGCTGCCTCGGCTGGAGAAGTGGTAAGTAACCAGTTGTGCATGTGAAAATCAGAAATGCAGATCAGTCATGCATATATCTATAGCACAGTCACTATTTGCATTTTAAAAGACAAGTCTTTTTTATTTTTTAATATTTTTTAGACAAGACTTAAAAGACAAGTCCTAAATCCCAGTACATGTAAATTAATCAACCATAATAGTTAAGAGAGTCTAGGTAGGAGGAAAGAAAAAATTCAGCCATTTACCAGAGATAAGTCTAAAACAATTACATAGAAAGAATTGAATTACCCATGCAGGTGCCATGTCTTAGTATAAAGTTAACATAACTGAGCTGGAACTTCGTTTTCTAGACTTCTCATTTGATAGTGGTTCTAGGTTAGTCTCCATACGTGTGCACAAACACACACACACACAAATTTGTCTAAGATTGAATTTGTGTTTTTGTTTTGAAATTTCATGTAGGTTGAACTCTGTTGCAGTTCATACCCTTACGCGTGGGCCTTGGGCAGTTGCTTCTTTGACTCACCAGGAAACCTCTGGAGCTTCCTTAAATTCTGAGTCAGAAGTGAAGGTGACCGCTTACACATCAGCCCCCACAGCATCAAGGTTGGTCATAGATGAGTTCTGATTTTTCCTGGCTCTTCTGCATTTTGGATTCTTCTTCCCTTCTTGATCACCTGCTCTGAGGCTCTGAGGCTTTTGTCTAGCAGAAATACCAGTTCTGTATCACTTGCTTAGCCAGATCCTGCAATTAAAGTGGTTCTGCTTCATATAATAACCCCTTTTTCAGTCATTTATTGTGGTTCTTCTTGTCTCAACCCTATGTAACTCAGTTACTGACAACCAGTCAGTAATATTAATCACAGGTGAGAAGACAACTTGGTCAAGGAGGCCATCTTATAATTCTAGGAATAGTTCTGGGTGATGCAACAGACCTGACCTGAACTAAGTCTCGAAATATAAAGCAAACATTGCCAGGACTTTTGTTTTGGGCCATGTTTGACAGTGCTCAGGGGCTCTCCTGCTCGGTGTTCAGGGGTCATTCCTAGAGACGTTCAGGGGACCAGGGGCAATGCTGGCATCCAACCAACATCAGCCCCTGTACTGTCTCTTCAGCCCCCACAACTTGCCAGAAGTCTAAGGAGAAAGGAATGAAACTGTGACCTTTATAGGAGAGGTCTGTATCTCATAGTTTAAGACCAGGTGGATGTTAAAGATCACAGAGATTTGAATGGCACAGTGGCAGGATTGGTCTCCTGGCTATGCATTGAAGCTCTGCCTGTAACAATTACAGATTACTGATTATTTTCCTTGAGATACTTGGGTTGTTAATATGAACCAATCATTAGTTTACCTAAAAAAATCATTTACCAAATAATGAGACAATGCTGTATAGATCATTTGGCTTCTTATCATAATGACTTAAAATCAGAGCACAGGAGCTGCCGGGTTAGTACAGTGCATAAAGTACTTGCCCTGCATGCTGCCTACCCAGATTCAGTACCCCATATGGTAAGCCCCTCCAGGAATGCCAGGGCACTGCCAGGGGTGGCCCTCAAGCCAAAAATAAAATAAAAGCTTCTTAATTTATTTTGTACTTTTTCTTCAGGAAATGCTTGATAAGTGTACACTCTGTCTTCTTGTTTTAGTAACTTGTTCCAGTTAAAATTTAGTTTGAGATTCATACAAGTGAGGTCAGTAAAGTAACAGAAACATGAATTTTGAGAAAACAGATCTTTGTAGGTAAAAGGAAAACATTTATATCGTTAGTAATCAGAAAGGTATAGTGATAAAATAATTGATACAATCATGGTCTTCCACACATTTGCTTTGATGTAAGATTGTTATGAGCAGATTTCTTAAAAACAACAGAGTATTTTGATAATGTATCCATACTTGTAAATTGTCTATAAGTGTACATAGAAACTTAGAAACAAAAGAATATTGCTATAATAACCAATACTTGTAGCAGTAGCTTGATTAAAAATTAATGATGAATCAATAAAAATATAATTGCAACCTTCTACCTTATGGTTGTAATTTGGGATATGTAAAATCAATCAAATAAGATTTAATATATAATAATAGTCATAAGAGTCCCATTTGTACCATTTTTATTAGGGAGTTTTCTGTACCAAATCTCTAAAGCCTGATCTCAATTATTTCACAATTCAGTTTTCATTACACACTGAATAAGTCCTGTGAGAAGAAGAATCTGTAATTAGGTGAGATGTGTTGGGGAAGTTTTAATTTAGTGCAGTAGCTACTGTAACATTATAAAGGTTGTATTTTCCCCCATCTTTTTTTTATTAAATTTTTTAATTTTATTTATAAAGTAGTTTACAATGTTTGATACATTTAATGTTTGAACACCAATCCCACCACCATTATACCTTCCCACCACCATATTTCAGATGTTTCCATCCTGAACACCAACCCAAGCCTCAAATAAGAACCGAAATAATTGATTTTGTATTGTTTGTTATGAAAAACTGCAGAAAATGCTCCAAAAAAGTTTCCTGAGAGAAAAGTATGTGAAGATTGCTGTATTTCACCCAGAGGCCTTTAAGTCCTTCTATAAGAGATCAGTAACATGTTGTTAAATTTCATCAGTAATGAAATTTCTTTACCACCCAGAGCTTTGTGTGCTTATATATGTGTGTGTTTGTGTATGTGTGTGTGTGTGTGTGTGTGTGTGTGTGTATCTGTAAAAAACAACATTTCCCTCTAAGAGTTGTTGCCTCTTTAAACCCCATTAAATGTGGTGCAGTAAGTTTGGGGTATGGGTGGTGTGAGACATGAGATGTCTCGTAGTCCAGGAATACATTCACTTGTGGGTGAGTCTCAGATGGATCCTGAAGGCGGAGGTTGATTTCTGGAGGTTTTCAGCTGCCAGCGCTGGGTCCCTTGGGACACGGAGGGCCCCCGAGTGAAATAGCCTGGTCTGGGGTCTAGTGGCATGGTTATGGCGTGTGTTGTGTTATGTTCCCTTCTGGGAGAGAAGGACAAACCCTCCCCCCTTCTCTTTTAAAGGCTTTCTATTAGAACTTCTCCTGGGCCTTTCTTTTAGCTTTAAGTTCAGAAATGAACAAACAATAAAATTTCTTTACCACCCAGAGTATTCACTGTGAATATGATATCTGCCTGGCCAACACGTATGAATTTTCTTATACATACAGATGCTGGTAGATTGCCCTTTAGGGCCCTCTGCCAGCTTGGAATTAAGAAAGCTGAGAGATCATGTTGTGTTTTGCCTTCTGACATAGAGAGTGTCCACGCATCAGTTAGAAATGAAAGTTTTAGAGATAGTAGCCAAAGTGCTGGTTTCAAACAAGACTCCTTGATTGTTCTGCTCTTCACTGATATTTAGATATCTCTGGCTTCGGATGATCAAAAGTTTAAATTTATATCCTAGTACACAGTGACTTTTTTGTGTTGGCTCCACAGCGCCAAATCGAATAGACTAGCCGTGGCATAGACCAAGGAGTGCTGCTCACATGCTGATAACAGGTGTGATTCCATTTTTGTTCATCACTCAAAGAATTCCTGGCTTTAATAAGTTCCAGAGTTTTGAAGGTTGCAGGCATGTCGAGTTGGGTTTTGCAGTTAGAAATAGCCTTGCTCCCATGTCTGACTTCTTTGAGGCCCTTCCTTGCCTTTGAAGAGCCTTGAAAATGAAGCCAAGGTCCACAGTTCAGCTATTTGAGCCAGTCCCCAGGTCAGTGAACCTGCTCTGGGGGTCCCACTGGCTATCAGCGTCTAGTGATATTTTGGGGCCCAGGCAGTGCCCAGGGGCTGATCCTGGCAGAATGCTCATGGGTTGATTCCTTGTGTTGTTTGGAATAAAAGCTTCCTTCACGCACAGCATGTGCCCATGGTCACGTTTCTGTTTGTGGCTTTCAGCTCCATACCCCATGGTGCTTGCAGCAACTCCCAGCTCTCTGCTTGGGTGTCACTCTCTGTGGTGCTTGGGGGACTGTGCAGTGACAGCCAAGACCAGCATCTTAAGTCCTGTACTGTCTCCCCAACTCCTAAACTCACACTTTGATTCCATCTCTCTGCTGAAATCAGCCCCCAGAGGGTGAGGTGCGGGTTCTGTCAGGAGGGTCGTCAGCTGCACAGCAGAGAGCCCACCACCGCTGGGCTTTCCTAAGGGGGCATGTCAGCAGTTGGTCAGGCTGTTATTTAAAAAGTGTATCTAGCATGTTTCGTGATCTTTGTTGGTCTCCACTCAACACGGGAATAGAAGGTTGGCAACTTTTCAAATGTGTTTTATCTTTTGAACTAATCATGTTAGATATTGAAGCACCCACCAGTTAACGAGGATTAATTCTCCTTTGCCATTTGGAGAGCTAGTACAGCAGGTCGGGCATTGGCCTTGCACTTGGCCGACCTGGGTTTGATCCCTGCTATCCCTTATGGTCCTCTGAGCCTGCCAAGAGTCATCTCTGAGCTTAGAGTTAGAAGTAGATTTGGCTAGATGTGGCCCTAAATACACACACACACACACACACACACACACACACACACACACACACACACAATCATTTTTGCAGCTGCAACAGCTTTGGGACTGGGAAGACAGCTCAGAGGGCCAGAACACATACCTGACATGTACACAGGGTGCCAAGTTCGACCCTCAGAACTGTATGCTTCCCTCTTCCCCACAGTGCTGCCACTTGTGAAATTGTTAGGCCCACATTGCAGGGCTGAGTGTTGGCAGCTGTGTCCTTTGGGCTCTAAGCACTGTGGGGAGGTCCCCTATTGGCCCCCTCCAAATCCTGCTTCTCATTGTCATACTTAAAGCCTTTCCTTGCTATATCCTCCCCCATCACTTGCACCTTTTTGATCCCCCACCCTCCACTGATAAAGGCCATTTTTGGTTCCATTCACCTTAGTTTCCTCTGCTACTTTCTTCCTTGAGTGTGGATTTGGGTCTTAAGTCTTTATTGTGTTCCAGGCACTGAGGATAAAACAAGATTCTGATTTTTTTTTTAATTAGTGAATCTCCTTGAGTTA